TTTGAAAAAAATTAATCCTGGCTAATAACAAAAATGAACATGAGCGACGTACCATAAGCTTTATGAAAAACACGTCTGAACAAATGACACCAAATCATAAAGGTGCAATGGAATAAGGACATTCTCCACGAATAGGCTATAAGCTTTCTTCCTTTAGGCTGGAAATATTCCATCTGCTGCAGACGTAATAACAACAAACAGTAGTATTAATCTGTCATTCGACCGGTGAACTGTTGGGGCTGTACATATTACCGTCCAGAGTGGCTATCTGTCCACACTAGTTTTTACTGAACCCATGCGAGCAATACTGATGTTTAACTAAGTCTTTATTAAGCCTATCCGTATACTTAAACTTCAGGACTGTTTTCCAGATGTTTCAATTTACGCAGTAGCAGAAAATTAGACAGTAATGAAGAAATATCCGCACATTACTGTCCTGGACTGAAAAATGAATTAGTTTTAGTTAATATCATTATGAATGGACTACCATTCTGGACGGCAGCATGTAAGATATAACCGTATCCATGATGCTTTTCAGTACGAATGACAGCGCGTGAACAAATATTCAATGGAAATACGAACACTATTTTCAGTACGATATTATCGATAATGGTAGTACTACAGCTTTTAGTAGTAACATCGCTGTTGCCGGTACGTCTGCTACTGGTATTGTTAATGTTGCTAAACTTGTTAACAGCATTGGCACTGGCAATAACACGAACAGCAAGAGTACAGTCACTGTAACTAGTGTGGATACGACACAGGTAGTGGTACTTCTCTCTGACTTGTTTCCGTCAGCGACCACGCTACGGACGAAAGTCGAAGCCGCTCGTCTTGCTGTTGTACTCTTTGTCTTGCTTTCACCGTTAACCAAACGGCTTCGTCATTGCGTCGCTCCTGCGTGTTGGCAAGTGTGTGTGTGTGTGTGTGTGTGTGTGTGTGTGTGTGTAACGACCGAATAAACGCCTGCTGCCGAAGGGGATTCAGCTGGTATCTCGGAACCATATGGCACCATCTCTTCCAGTTGCGGCAGGCAGTGAGTATAAGCAAAAATCACGCCGACAATGAACTACCGCTCTCGAAACAGTCTTGAAAGGAGACGTTGCATATTGTTTCTTCCACCGTCATTTGCGCTACCATTAGTTTATTTACCTCAGCCTTGGTGGTATACCAGCACCCTGCATCATAAGTACAACTGCGAGTACAATAGTGAAGTCAAAAATCTTTCTTCGCGGACGAGGGCAGTTTTTTATCCAGCAGCAATGCTTTGGTGCGATTGGAACTTATCCATGCTACTTTCTTTCTTCTGCTGATCTCACCGTTGATATATTTAAGTATACTAGTTGGTCGAAGAATACGTGGCTAGCGATTTTCTTTCCACTCTCACCATTAATGAGAATAATAACGGCGGAACAGGATTCGTTACGCCCTGGAAATGTTTAATCTCTAGACAGATGGCGCGTAACACCTGCACCTGCACGGTCATTGATAGGAGCTCCACACGATGTTTGAGGAAGATGCCATAGTCTGCACACAGCATATGGTTTAGCCGTTCACCGTCGATGCCAATGCCGCCGTCCCAGATCATATGGTTAAAGAAGGATTTCAACACGTCTGCCAGAAGCTTAGGATAGATGATGGATGCTTCCTTCGCGTACACTTCTTTTGATGTGGGTTCGTCACGATTCTTCGAGCAGATGAATGTTCGCTGCTGCGCCAATATTCAATTCTTCGATCCGGTCAAGGTGTTCAGTACAGTGTTCAGCTCAGCTACACGGAATTAATGTTTTTCTGAGTATGTAGGGAGACTGGGAATTGACATTGCCTTTAATCCTCTGTTAAGTGTTTCACAACGTGAATGTGGTATATGCTGGATAATCATAGGCGTAAACCTGCTTGTTTTTTACCAATGAGTAGTTATCCGTTCTTCGATATACAGGTGAGGATGATTCTGATAAACAACTTGTAGACCTTTGACGGGAAAATAATGGGTCGATAATTCTGGAGGTTGACATGTGAGCATCACATGTCTTCAAACTTTCAAACTGACTAGCTCTTTCATGCATGTCGCGTCTTCTTTACTTTGATTTATCGTAAATCTTTGGTAAGGGCTTTGAAAAAGAGTTTCTTTTGACTTGCATAGTTGGATTTATGCCGACCTCGCCAGAGCATTTTCCACTCTTGATATCTTGATTGCCAACTCTTCTTCGTCTCAGATGACATCGAGACATGTTTCTGAGGCGACGTGCGCCAGCTTCCGGTTTACCTCTACCTTAGAGGAGTACAGGTTGTTGCAGCGTCTCCAACAGATCGCCTTCATACGACAGCGATAATCAGCTATTTTTCTTCCTTCGTCTTTAAGCGCTTGAAAAAAATGCTTCCCCCTGGCCTTCAGGATATTGTTCTTTAATGCGACCTTTCGTAGCTTCGTTCTTCTGTGCTTGTCATAGTCATCCCGAATCTTACTCGTAGTTCTTTGCACAACGCATTGTACCGGCCGTCCAGTTGCTAAACGGCCTTCATTCTGGCCATTTTGGACATCGGCTGCCTCACTGCGGGGCAGCCCGGCTGCACGACCGATTGGTCGTCTTGATGCTGCGTAGATGCTTCTGCTGATGACGGTTGCTAGGTTCAGCTGAGAAAGCTTGTCTGCTAAAGCTCCAGAATCGAAGATTCGTCCAAAGGGCGGTGGGCTTTGAATCCTTTTAACTTGACTCTTTTTATTCATTTTCATTCTTCAAGTTCACTGCCGTCTGTCAGCTTTTTCAAGCATGGAGTTTATGACGTGGAGACGGTTGTATTCGGCAAACGTTATGCGATGACAACAGATTGGAAGAGTGTGTAACTGGACATCGTTTGCGTTACCTTTTCCAGTTCCTCTTAGAACCGTTCCACTACCTTGCGCTGTAAACTTCAATTATCCTTAATGATCTGGTCTACCCCCTCCAGATTAATACGGCGATACGAGGTGATATGAGGTGGTTGTTGACTACTAGCGGTATATTCCTCTTTTCCACGATGAGTCCTAAACTGCCTGTCCGAGTCCGCTTTCGCGCACGCTATCCAGCGTAATATTTGATCGCCGCTGTCAATCATGCGATAAGTTCCGTAGATACTTGCAATTAACGCATGGCAAGAACATCTGCGTTGATCTTCTTCGCGTCGATGACGTAGATTGAGTTCATGAAGATCTCAATGATATTCTTTGGCTAGTCGCGTCAAAAGCGATTACAGTTTTCGAGAAGCCAACGCCCCAGCCGGTACTTACGGTCCCGAGACTCTCCTGTGCTTAACGTATTTCTGGAGTGTTTCGTGGGCAGTTTACTGAGCGTGCTAGCATTCGTAAACTCTAGCGTTCATCTACCACATACTTCAACCAGCCCATCGAGGTCCAGTAGATAGGCGACTGGTGAACTCTTGGTCGTGGTAGTCGTCAATAACCGCTGTCAGGTCTCACTCCACCCTCTGCATCTTGTCGTGCCTGCTCACCATGCATAAGGATTGGTAGCAGCAAACATATCGGAGGAGCAGCGAGCTAATATCACCCGATTACACAGACGTGCTTTGTATTTGTTCCTTTTTTCGACTGGTTTTCACTAAAACACGTTTCCATATTTTTATTGATATTGTTCTTAATTTTTGCTGAATAAAGTAGCTCCACAATGGAAAGTTTTAAGCGCAAAAAATCTTCATTTTCATTAATTCAAAACACGGGGCATTCGCTGAACGGTCGACGAGCGGTACACATTTTTGCACTTTTAACACGTTCGATGTAACTTAGTTTTTTCCTCTTTTATCGTACAGACGAGGCTATTCAATCGCTGAGGCGGAGCTTTCATTTTAGAAACTTACACGAAACCCGAAGCTTCGCTACGATGCCAAAGGTTTACAGGTTTGCTGTGCAGATCATATCTCGGATCCAGTTCAAGAGGCAGATGCTGAGCTGATGTACAGCGCGAACTTCAACATTCAACGTTTCAGTGGTCGGCTGGAAACTAGTGTGTTACAGATGCATAACATCGCGTTCGGTTACAGTACGCCACCGTCGTCCTAGCGCTGATACTTTCAAAGGTATAACGGATGATCACATACGCATTTTTAGGGGTTAGCTGCTCGGTATTCAGGTGTGACAGCTGCTACGATTCTGGTGCCGCTCTTCTGCCAACTCTGTACGTATAAGGGCTTTTCTAACATTGAGCCAGGTAAATTTAAAGTTAGGCGTAAGTACAAATAGTATTTACTTAGTCTAGCATTGATGATGCTACAGTCCATGTTGTGAAACGTGTCGAGAGTAAATTGCTCTGACATCTGTTGTATCTGGTGCCCTGAACAACCGTCAATCGTTCAAACACCTGTCCATTAAACTAGTGGACTTCTTCCATGACTTCCTCGCGTTGTTGTAAT